CACGGCTATCACAAACACAAAATAGGCTGACCACCAAATGAGTCCAAGATCTAAACTGTCCCACGATTTGTTTATAACACTTGTTTGGGAGGATGTGTACAAATTTACAGAAAACTTGACAAGCGTTTACATTTAAATTTTAAAATTCGAAATCGAATTTGAACGTTTGCCAAGTTTCCTGCACATATGTATACATCATCCCAGACAAGTGTTATAAACAATCTGTGAAAAATTTTAGATCTTAGTTTTAGATCCGGTTAACCAAATCTGAAATATGACGATATAACTCTTTGAGAATCGACACATACTCGATTTTTCAGAAAACAGTTCCATAGTGTTGCGCTATCGACAGAGTCGAAAGCCGCGTGGATATCTAAGAACGCAATGATTGTTGGCCTTTGGTAAGCATGACGGTGCTCTTGCAGCTGTCGGAGGGTGAATATTTGATCAATACATCCACGACCGGTGTGAGAACCGGCCTGCTCCTCGCAGATGTACTCTTCATGTGTCTTGCACAATCGGTGGAGAATGACGAACGCCAGCAGCTTTGACGCTGTTGGGATAAGGTTTACAATCCTATAATGGGTGCAGTCACCGCGCGGACCCTTTTTAAAGACGGGGACGACAATCAAACAATCCCCCAGCTATATAGCTGTCATGATTCTAGTCGTTTTCTTTTATGAAAGCCCGGGGTGGAGCTGGATTTGACTTATCTCTTTTTTTATCAGCTAATTAAGTTCCCAATTTTATCTGCCCTAATCAAGTCTCCATTTCTTTGTCTAATAGTCACCTATTCATATATTCAATCACCGGTTCACCAAAACACGATTATCGACTAGGAAATTCTTCCTACCTTTATATGCATTCACGATTATGAGCAAATTGAAACCTTTTGATTGTCTGGCTATTTAATCACGAGAAGAAGTTACAGCAAACACTGAACCAGAAAACTTGTAGGCGTCTTGCACAGCACTCCTGGTATTATTCCTACTGTTTTTTGACTGAAAACTCTTGTTTCCAAATTACCTTTATCATCATAAATAATGTATTTTAATGAAAAAGAACATACCGAATTGTCATATCATTGATCTAATGTTTATTTGGATTTTCCACGTGCATTTGCTACCACTTTTGTAATTTCAATAGGCGTTGCTGGTTGAGGACATTCAATTATCGAGGATTACAGATAGGAGATCAGTAATTTTGCATGCATAACATAAAAACATATATATACCTTCGCCGTTCATGTTCACACGACGGGTAATGAATGTAGTAATCAATAGTTATTCTTTGCGATCCAGCAAATTGCTCGCGGTGATCTTGTTTATTTTTGCTCATTAAAATCAATCATTACTCACAAGTGAGTAGTATCTCACAACATTACTACTACTACTACTACTATATTTGCTATTATGGAATGCACATTGATTGACTGTTTGAAAGCATGTAATACACATCAACAAATTAGGTAAGTGTACGCGGTGGTTGACGTTCTATGATGCGGGATCCATCTAGTTTGCTCGATTGTTATTGACTCCGGTCAATTCAAACCTGTTATCTTAATCCATTGTAGTTGTCTAATCTCCATTTTTCATTGTTTTACAACCCCCAATTCTCCCATCTGCTGTTATTATTGTTGAGCAATAATGGGATTGGTGAACCCGTAACATTTCACCTACGGAGGAGTTGGCCGAAAACCCTGATTTGAAACCAATCAAGAAGAGGTGTACGACCCACACACTCACACCTTCATGGTTGTGACAGTGGTCATCGGCTCGATTTGGTATCGAGTTTGACCCCATCCAAAGGGCGTATGACGCGATGAATTGAACAGCGAACCCCAATGGATTTCGATTTTCACATCGCCCCGTCACCAACCAGATCAGGATTTCGCTTGCCAAAGGTTCCGGTTGTGAATTCCTCAAGAAAATTCACCAGCCTTGGCCTGAGCAACCTGACAGTATCGCGCCCAAAAAGAAACCATAAAAGTGTTTTCTTTTTTTATAAAGATCATGGTACTGTGAATTGTTTGGCATGCAGTTTGAACTCAGTCGTGTATAGAACAAATGAAGTGTGAACTGAAAAGCTAGGAAGCACTACTGGACAGCTGTTTCGACTTGTTTGGGTCTGGTCAGCGGTGCGAATTCATCGACCCAACTGGGGAATCGCGAAACCGGGACCTTACAGGCAGAACGCGAGTACGCTACACGACGAATTCCTTTTTCGAAATTGAATCAAATCCTCCATTACTCTCATACAACAAGTAATCAGGTTGTGAAAGTTTCCAACCGAGTCATAACACTGAAGGCTAGTGCTGAGTTGAGCGAGACGCGATGCTCGCAACAAGCTCGTAAAGATGGACTGCGCTGTATCGCGTAAATGGAAAATGAAAAACGGTATGATCAGCTAACCACCGGTGGCCGGGTGGGTAGCATGCTTGCGTTCTGTCCATTAGGTCTCGGGTTCGATCCCCAGTTGGATCCGCGCAACGGTGCTGATGATACTCACCAGGTCGAAAAAGCTGTCCAGTAGTGTTTCCTTGCTATTCAGTTCACGCTTCATTCGCTCTTTACACGACGAATTTCCACTTTGAAATATCTAATATTGTAAAATTTTGAAAACGCTGTCGCTATTTGCGTTAGTCGATCGATCGATGCTCCAGGATTTCTCGAAAAAACATGGCACAAATCATTGAATAAAAGACTACTCAGTGCGGTAACAAATTGTCTCCGCATCTGCATTGTTCGTTACAAACAACCTTCTTCTCTGAACACTGGCCATAATCGTGGGTTCATTTTATTTCTATGAGAAGAACTTGGGAACTGTCTTAGAAAATCTGGAGGGGGGGAGGAATTCCTCTGCATAGAAAACAATTATTTACACATTTCGACTAAGTTCACAACCAAACTCACTGAGATCGCCTTCTGTCGTGTCCTCACTCATGGACGCATGACCGGATTTACTTCGTTCCTGTGTATTCGCATCCTCGGACTGAGTATAGCTCAATTCCCTGGTCGCGGCAAAACTGAACGGAATAAACACGGCCAGGGGTTGTTTGAAACTGGTCGGTGCATAGAACAATTGTATATCACTGGCCATTCGAAGATTCGGACCGAGCCAGGGGGCTAAAGCTCCACGTGCGGTGCTAGACACAGTTGAACATAACAGTCGTTCCCGTCGACCTGTAGATGCCCCGGGCGGAATTTCCACCTTGACCCCGTTTGGAGAGAGAAAGAGGCCACCAGTTTTGCGAACAGCCACCTCGGATTTGAGTGGATTTGTTCTATGCATGGAGATAAACAAAAGTGGCCCCACTGCATTAAAGATTGTGAAAATGGTGTCACAGTACGTTCCGGTAGGTCAA